TCGGGTCATTTGATGTGCCCTTGCAGCTCTGCACCGGACACCCGCATAGACCCGGATTTTGGGCGAAAGCGGTTATGGCGAAAATCGAAAAGGACTTGGGTATTTCGCCAGTTAAACGGTTCCCAGAAACCACCCACCTCCATCGCCGCCTTGTGATTCCACGGGCTGGCACGCCATCTTTTCTCTCTTTTCCTCATCTATCAGTTCGTTAGAAATGGAGAGAGAGACGTGAGAGAAGGGGATAAACAATGAAAATGAAAGATAAATGGGAGAGAGGGAGACCTGAGAGAAAGGGAGGGATAGGTGGGTGGACGCTACTGGTATTAGGGAGGGGAGTCGGCAAGGGGAGGAGAAGGGTGGTGGAGGCAACTTGGAGAATTTTTAATTAATTTAATTACTAAATAAAAATTAATAATTTATCTTAATTAATTTTTTTTTTAATTTTAATTGGGAAAAGGATGGACCCCGCTCCTGTCATGTCATCATTTAAACAAAAATTTTAAAGGAAGTTTGACATTGCAACGAATCCATAAGTTAAGGTATGACATTGCAATGCTTAAAACATAAGATATGAGATTATGGTTCGACCTATAGTTGAGGTAGTTTTGTGTAATTTACTATTTTTCTTAAGGAAACGTTAGCTTTATTTGAATAAAACTCAATTACACAAGAGAGTGTTGGATGATGACGTTGTGTATATAATATTGGGAGGATCTCAAACTAGATCATTTACCTACTCATATAATTTTGTTTTGAGTAAGACTTGTTAATCAAGACAGTGTGCCAATCACTTTAAATCGATATCGTATAATTTTTTTTATAATTTAAACATATTGATCATAGCATGACCAAAGGTCCAAAGAGTTGCAGAACTATTAAACCTATTGATCATAGCATGACCAAAGTTTTAAAAACGTTAGGCATTAGTAAGGCAGCAGGCTGGAGCTTAGTGCCTAGGTGACTAGGCATGGCCTAGGTTGATTTAAGTATATTGACAATATATCGTAGAAATAAGTATACATTTGGGTTAATAAACTACAAAGCAGAATGATATATAGATTATAAAGTATTAGAACAAAATGAAAACATGAGGAACAAGCATATAATGTGTATTCATCTATGTATTCAACAAATCTCTTACAATTTATTAAAAAAGTAAAATGCAAAACAAAAATTATTTATTTTCTGTTTAATCAAGAGTCACGACTTAGGTGGGCTAAGCAGGCACCTAAGTAAGTCTAAGCGCCCTTTCGTATTTTTCGAATGCTTAAGAATTAATCGGAACGATGACCAACCGCCTAGCGGCTAGACCCATCTACACGAATCTGAGCGAGAATTTTAGAACGGTGAGCATGACATAAGTGAGAAAAAGTGATAAAACCCAAGTGACCATAGCATCACACACATCCTCATCAATTCATATAGCGCGTGTAAAATAACTAGACACGTATTGAGGCTTGGAGCTACGCAAAGTAAGGCATGCAGTCAAACAAGTAGCGTGATGAGAATCTATAAGGGCTTAAAGAAATAATGGCTTGAATAAAATACAAATTCAAAAATCAAATGGTCGAAAAAGAATTTGGCTTCACATGAGGTTAAAGGATGTGCATAGCAGGACTGAATCATGAAATTCTTTTAATTTTTCGATTACTTTGTTTCTTCCTTTAATTGTTTGGAGTTGTTTTAACAAGTTTTCAAATAAAACAACAACTCAGCCTTAAGTGAGATCAGGTATAGAATCTCCTCCTCTACTTTTTTTGTCATAAATTTCCGTCTTATAGTCGCATATTCGAAATATCTGTAGGTTACTAATTAGAATAGAATGTTATTATTTGAACTCTATTTAGAAAAAGTAATCAGGTATGGGATTAGTAAATTGAGCCCAACAATATTATTCAGTTCCTAGAAAAAGCATAAATGTGAAAAGAGAGCAGATCTCGTCCTTGTGCATACTTTTTTTCCCTTGTTTAGGCTGGAGACCCTTAGCACCTTACGTACTTTAGATATTAATTACTCTTACTTTAAAACAAAAAGAAATTTCCACTTAAATAGAATACTACATGTGCTTAAAAAAAGAATTTGTAGATGTCCTATACATTTAAAAACCATAATTTGGCCAGACAAAGAATTGTTGAGAAGCTTCTTTTGGTTGGAAATGGATGGTGACCGAATGGTGGTTAGAGTTGAAGAGGGTGAAATTCTCAGTGCTGTCAATTCAATTCAAGGTCAATTTTCCCACACAATTGTACATTTATCTTAATTTCTCTAGGGTGCGTTTGTTGCACCGAATTATTTCGGATTGGACTAGCTTCAGGGACTAAGTTGGACTGGCTTAGATTAGATTAAACTGGACTAACTTATTGAAACGTTTGATGCAATGTCGGACTACGAAGTAGGATTGCAATATTAAAATATTTTATATTAATTTAATATATATTAATTAATATTTTATTATTACTTTATCTTTTTTCTTTTTTTTTTCTTCTAGAATCATCTCTCTAATCCCTATCTGATCCCTGTAACCTTCATCCTTTCCTTTTTCTCATTTTTGTCCCTCCCATCCACTGGCCCTTTCTCTCCCTTCCACCGTCTCTCTCTAACCCAAACAAGCGATGCAACCAAAGTGATAGCAGAGAGTCTCTCAATTTGCCTCACCAACAATGCAACTAAAATCCCCAATCTTCCTCACCTCCTCTTCCCACAAACCCATCTCATCCCCCACCCAAAAAATTCACTCAAAATCCCCAACCTCTCTATCTCCACTTAGGTCATAGTTGAACCTATATACGACTTGGTTCTCGAATTAAGCGTGACGAGGTGTTGGGAGTGGGTAGAGAACTGTGGATTCAGTTATTTTCTTCCTTCTTGATTTCTCTGCTGATTGCGCAAGAAGTGAATTTTTTCCCCTTTTTTCCGTTCTTGGTTTTTGCTCTGTTTTTAGAGATATAAAGGTCAGTCTTCAATGGAATATCTTCTGTGACTTCTGATTTCTGTTTTAGAGAGATGAAGGTGAGTTTTCTAGCAAACACGGTGATGAAAAGGTGCGGGGGAGGGTTCGCACAACGCTGCTTGCAGAAGAGAGAGACGGGACTAGCAATCCCGTAGTTTTGGGGGGGGGGGCTCAGTAAGACCTCTTAGTGAAGCCTTTAGTGTAGGCGAGTCTGGGCTAGTCTCATTAAGACTAGTCCCGCATGATAACAAACACCGGACTGGACTAATAGTTAGTCCAGTCTAGTCCAGTGACAGTTAGTGAGGGCAAACAAACGCCCCCTAGTAGTACTATCTATATAAACAGGTGGATGGCCATGCTGGGTTTCTTTTGCGGAGTTGGATTATCTTCCCTCATATTCTCATCCCTTTCACTCCCCTCCTCTTACACATTGTTTTTTGTTTTATTGTCTTTATAAAAAAATCAATATAAGATGTTGACGTGATTTAACCATGACCGTTCAAATAAAAGGAGATGGGAGGGGAGAGAGATTAGGAGAGGAGAGAATCCTCCTCCTTCTTTTGCATTGCTGGGTGTACTGCTCCGTTGGCCACTTATAGCTGCTTCTTGGTAATCACAATGGAAATTCTATGTGTATCTTAGTTTGGAGAGGTTTTTCAATGAGCCGCAAACATAGCCTGATATCAAATATCATAATACAAACGGTTGGATATTTGAAGAAAAAAAAATTCAATGACTTATATTATGATAGTTGATATACCGGACCATATTCACAACACTGAAAGATTTCTCCTTAATTTGGATGTAATGCTACAATGTTATTGCTATACCACTAAAATATATACATTGTGACTTTGTCCAATAAGTTTAACTTGGTGATGACTAAAAGCAATCCTAATATATACATTTATGTATATAATTATTTGATTAGTGCCGCTTCCGTTAATAGTCCTTAATGTTAGTGAGAAACATTTTAACAAACGGCAGTCCTTAATGTTAGTAAGAAGCATTTTAATAATCAAACTATACAAAAAAATTAAAACTGGACTTGGAAATTTGAGTCATTTGACTTTCCTAGTGTTTTCTTGCCGTTTTCATAGAATTTTCTGACCTTTTTCGTTGGGTATTACTGAAATAAATTGTTATTGAAAAAGACTAAAGATGGAGATGGTCGAATATTTATTGTATATGAAATTAAATGGGAGGCGCATGATGGCTAATTTTTAAATAACAGTCCCGTAACCAAACTATCATGTAAAATAAGTCATTTTCACGAGAATGCATCTCATTCTCTGATGCAGCACTTCTAACGTTTCAAAGTTTGCATTCACAACATGCAGTCTGATCTTGGTCCTTTTTATGTCAGCTCCCATCAAGATTTCTTCTGAATGAAGCCGTTTGCTATGCTGAACATAACCAATTTTACTATATATTTGAGACCAATTTGTTTGAGCACATTGTCTAGGAAACTCCCGTTTCTATTAATCGATTTACGACGTTATTACTAAATTTTGTTTATTTATCTCATTTGGGTAATGCTCATTTTGGTCTCCCTTGCATTATTCATCTTATTTTCCTCTCTTAAACACACACAAAAGAGAGGATTGAATCAATGTAGCAAGAAAAAGAAATTAACAATGAGGAGAGAACTAATTCCTACTAGTATCATTGTTCTTTAGTACAGGATGAAGAAGAACCAAGATATAAGATACAATGAATTGAACTTCACGTTATTTATTAAGGAAGCATGAATTTGTTACAATTACAATACATCTTTGATTACAATATTTGGAAAAAGAAGATGTTTACAATTTATTGTATCATAATCAAACGAAGGACAAATCTACAGTATTAGAAACTTAGAAGATATTCTTTATTAATTTATCTCCTAAACAAAAGAATCAATTAATTTGTAATAAAAAACAAATAAATAAATGTGTGTATTTTAGAAATTGTAAAGTAATTGTTTTTATTTTTCTTGTGAAATTGTGAAGCAATCAAGTGATTGTGTGAGTCATATTAACATGGATGCTGCACATGGTATCTACGTTCAGTATGCTCCTTCTTCTACCTCAACCAAGTTCTGCAGCACTGCATGAGAAGCCTCTTTTAGGAACTCCGACCAGTTCCTAAAATACCCAAAACATCACGAAATTAGCAAAAATCAATAGTAGTGTTCGATCAAATAAACCTAGTGCATATTCCGATAACAATTATATGTGCGAATAGATTCTATTTTAGAAGTTTGGTCTTATGCCTCCTCTTTTTTTATAATGTTTTTTTGGGCTTCAAGAAGGCTTAGGTTTATGTCCTTCACTTCTTTTATATATTTTTTTCTTGCATTCTGAGGGTAATATTGATGTTCCCTAACTAAGTGTAACTATTTTTCATATCAATATAACTTTCTCTACTTCCAAGTTTTCTTACAAAAGAAAAGGTATAGATCTATAGACAAAGAAAAACACATATGAAACCCATGCATTCACTTACTTAGGATTGATATATTTTACAACTTTATTATAAGAAATTAATAAAGAATGACAATCTAATAATTCCTTATGATATAACGATATATACTTACCCTTTACAGGAGTCGAAAGGGAGTCCAACCGTGTACTTAGCTTCTTCAAGTGCCCAACTGAACCTTTTTAGCTCATCTGGGGAGCAAGTTCCATTGTCCCTGACCTTAAGTTGAGACGGCTTTACATTACAGAAAACTGGTATCACCCTCTTCTTAGACTCCATGAGCAGAGCCAACTCATGGAGGCAAAAGTAAGATTCGCAATAATGAGGCGAAAACACGGCAACCCCCACCTTACATTTGTGGATCGCCGCATCAATTTTGTCGAACAACTTGTCCCCAGGTTTCATGTTCTTGCTGTCCAAGAAAGGATGCAAGTTGAGCCTTGAGAAATGGTAAAAGAGCAATCCGGCCACGGTTCTCTTGGTGTCGATCCCCCGGTGGTTAATGAACACGTCGCATGGCGGGTGTGATTTAACGGTTAGGATTTGGTTGCTTCCCTGGCGGAGGAAATTGCGAACCAAAGCTGGTGAACGCTGCATGGCTCCTTGAAGAAGCTAACAAAAAAATGATGAGATATGAGATATGGTTTTTATGTACTTTCCGTTTCGGTTGAGGGTTTGTGTTTTTCGTTTGTACTTCCTAAGGGTTACGATTTTGGTTGTGGGTGAGAGAGCTATAAATAGGTTCGGAGAGGGTTTGATTTTTATTTTTGGGGTCCAAATTCAAGGCAAATATTCCAAGTTTTAAGATTGGACTTGAGAAAATGCCTGGTAGTTATTTTGATAAGACATAGAAAATAGGAGTATAAGCACCAGCGCGAGCCTTGAAAATTTTGACTGTATAGTCTTAATAGAACTTAGAACAGTATACACCTTCAAACACGTCATTAAATATTTCATTTACGGCTTACTTGGTCACTCCACGATATATTTGCATGGTTTCAAGGCTTGTAAAAAATTTAAAATTTGCCAATACATATAAAACCGCATTGAAGATTTTGTTTTTTGTTTTTAGGGTTACAATTTTGCCCAGCGTGTGTTTTATTTTTTAATTTTCTAAGATAATCTCTTTCTACTCTCACACACCGACCCCTTACAAACTTTTTTTTTTGTAACTCTTAAGAATTTCGGAAACTCAATATTTAATGGAAATAATATTAGAGATAAATTAACAACACCTTGTTACCTATTAGTACATATTAGTTGAAAATATGAATCTCACGTTAAGGAAAAGATGGACACTATATGTGTTCACACGTTAAGGATAAAATTGACACTACATGTGTTTATAAAGTGTTAAACTACTCTTCATATATTATCAAATGATTTTATGGTGAAACTTCAATTTTTTCCATGATAGAATTGTTAGAAGAGCGGTTAGAATTTAAAATATGTTTGTAAAAAGAGTTAATTAGTTAAGAGCCTTGTGAGCTGTCGATTTCTGCCTGGGGAGGGAACTTGGATGCGCTGAAGCCGTTTTTGCGCTGGGGGAAGGGGGACTGGATTTCACAGCCAATCCCCAAAGGGATTGGATCACGGTGGAAGTGCTCTTGGGGATTAGAGAGCTGTCTCTATTATGGAAAAATATTATTAAATTTGATATGCAACATAAATATAATATAACAAAGGGGATGGGAAACGTGCTCTTTGACTTGACTATTTGAAATTCAAAGCATGTGGTGTGTGTCTTGTACTCATTGTGAAAACAATAGGAACACAACGGTCTTAATTCATGCATAGCTAGCACCACATTACTGTTTCCTTTTGGACGACAAATTTGAGCTGAGCACTTCGTTCTTGTCGAGCAGCTTGTTGGCAGTTCATGAAAATTAAAAGTTCACAAATCGAACTTGCATACCCAGCCGCATCCAATGTGAATACATAACTTGCTTCTCCATTGCAACGAAATTTTGAGATGTTTATGTGTAATTAAAATCAACTCTAATGGTTTGAGTTTCCATGTATGCAATAAAAATCACAAATTAAAATTAATTTGAAGCAAATGAAGTTCCACATAAATTGTCGTATCGGAAAATGCATACAAGTACGAAGAAAAATATTTATGTATATGTCGGTTGGAATGAGATGAACATTTATTCGAGCGTATTTTTGTTCGCTACCCTTAAGTAGTGACAGTGATGTTCAACCACTCTATTTATCAAGAAAATCTTATGTGAGGCTAGACTTACCACTAGACAATGATGAGTGGCACTACACTACCATTTACTCAAAACATGCCTAGTAAGCATTATGTACAATATGTGTAATAATTTATATTTAAAATTTTCATAATACGATTTTCTACTAAATAATTACACCATTAAAATTATCTAATGTCCCATTTTTTTTCCTCAGTTCCTCCTCTCCTTTGCCTTGTCAGATTTTCTTCCCAGCCGCATATTTTCTTCTCTTCCCCCTCCTCTTGTTTTGTTGCTTTTCGTTGAAAACAAAAACAAAAAAAAACAAAAACAAAAATTGAGACCCCCACCTTCTCTAACTTTTCATATTCTAGAAACTAGAAAGTAACTGATTTTGTCCTTTTTATTTCAATTCAGTAGCTGATTTTATCATATGAACTTTGACTTGATTAACCTACGAATCTCTAATATTCAACAAAAATGATACAAATTGAATCTACCATTTTCAAACGAAAATTTTCTCATAATTTACCGTACAGAAATTCAAACCCCATAAGAAGATAACAAAATGTACAAATAAAGATACTTCTATGATTCTATTGGCTCAACATGTATGTAGGCGAGGATTTTATAGGTACGTGGTTGATTTTCAACACGATTGATAGTTTCTTTGGTTCTGAAGTGAATTCTTTTTTTCTCTCTATTGCTGCATATATTTTTGAAGAAATGCAAGAAAAGGAATGAGACAAGCTGAGAAGAAAAGGAGACAGAGAAAGAAAGGACAATTATAAAATATTAGATGAATTAGAATATTAATTAGGAATAATATTTATTACAAACACTTTAACTATGAAATTATGGTAAAATTATATTTAAAGGTTGCCACATGACAAGTTTCGAGTGGATGCTAGTGCCACTCAGCATCGTTCAGTGGCAAGTTAAGCCTCACACAAGTTTTTCGCCTATTTATCATTGTTGGATGAGTTTAAATTTTAAAATTTCTGTCTATTCACTACATACATTTCAAAATTTAAACTTATCTAACGGTAATAAATAAGGTGACACTAGGAGACCCAATTTTGTAAACCAAATGATGTAGATGTTGATGATTGGATTATTACTAAGTGTTGATTAATGTGCTTATTTTTTTATAAATTCCATTTAAAGGTTTGGTTCTTTTTATTAAGGAGAATTCTATTGTAAAAGATAAAACTTAGTTCACATTGTTTGGCTTTGTATTTTTCAGTTTATTATTCTGTTTGATTTGGTAGTTATAGGACTGCAGGTTGTTAGGATAATTTGGCATTATCTTGTGTGTAAAGCCACTGTATAAATACCGGTTGTAATCTTATGATTGATCATCAATGAAAGTAAACCTTCCTATTACTTTTTAGGCTTAAATGTCAATATGGTCCCTATGTTTTACTCTATCGGTTAAATTAGTTCCTGTGTTTTCAATTTGGCCAAATTGGTTCCTGTGTTTATATCTGTTAGTCAATTCAAGACAATTCGTTAAAAGATTGTTAAAATTGACATGTGCTAGGCACGTGAGAGAACAAAAACGTAATTTTATTGCAGCAACCTAACCATGGCTTCTCCACCGTCTTCCCCGCTGCTTCTCCGGCGTCGTCACAAAATAGAGCTTCTACCCTTTCTCTTTCTCCCGTAGCCGCTCCTCTCTTATACCCATTCTCTCCTGTAGCCTCCACCGCCTCCCTTCCCTCTCCTTAATATCCAGATCCTCTGCCTCATCGACTTCCTCTTCACGGCTCAGGACACTTCGACGTCATCGCTGTTGTGGGCGGTGACTCTGCTCGACTCACACCCGGAGGTCCTAGGGAAGGTCCGGTGGTGCGCCAGGTGATGAGGTACAGCCTCATCGACTCTCTCTCTCTCTCTCTCATATTCTAGCTGATACAATTGTCTCTGATTTTTGTGATATATTTTGCGAATTGATGGACTACCCAAATCTTAATTTCATAAAAGACGACGACTTTTAGCTGAACCACTCACAGTGAGCTCCAGATTAATCCGACCTAGAGAGGTTTCCACATATATATTTATATATTTTGGTGTTTTTTGTTTTTTCTGTGAATTTGTATAAGTTTATTAGAGTTGATGGGTTATGCTGGTTGGTGTTTTAGGCTGCCCTTGCTCGGCTTGAAGCTTTGGAAAATGATAATGCTGGTTTGGAGACGGTAGAAGTTAACGACGATGATGAAGCTTCTCTTGACGATGATGATTTATGGAACTTCTCTTCTGCTCGGGTCGTTGCCAGAATATACACAATGATACTCGATGTTTGAAGTTTGTTGCCTGATTGGTGAGTGGTTTTAACTGACACATGCAGCTTTAGTGAACTGGATGCTGATTCATGTTGATAATCCATATTATATGTATGGGAAAGAAATAGATTCAAAGGTCTTCCATGTTTATTTTTTATTTTTTATTTTTATTTTTTGTATTTAGTGGGTTTACAATAAAATTACATTTTTGTCCTCTCACGTGCCTAGCACATGTCAATTTTAACAGTTCTTTAACGGATTGTCTTGAATTAGCTAACGAATATAAACACAGGGACAAATTTGACCGAATTAAAAACACAATGACTAAATTGGCCGATAGAGTAAAACACAAAGACCATGTTAACATTTAAGCCTACTTTTTATTATCATTATTTTTCCAAACAGCTTAATCTGATCTTTGAATGCAGCACCAGCCTTGAGAAATCAAAGATGCATTTTATAATGTTGGGTTGGACTATCCCAGCAGGTAAATTCTAAATTTTACACAATTCAACCAACCAACAGGGATGAGAATTTAAACTTGAGTATAAACGGAGAAATGCTCTAGTCAATTTGGCTAAACACAAATATATATTATGCACATCCTAAATGCTTTACTTTCCGTTCTTTTATTTACTTTTTCATTCAAAGCCAGTTTAAGAGAGGTTGAGACCAAACTCAGAGCTTTTTGGTATTCTGTCATGTGCTTAAAAACTGCAAATACGGCAATTGGTTGAGTGGTCTAATTCCTTCATTACCAGTAACTTTCCTTCTTAAATAATATTTGATTGAGCCATTAGTCTTGTTCAGTACCTGTGGACGAAAAAGAATGGGGGGAAGGAAAATAAATACTTTTCTAATTAAGTAATTTCTTAATTTCCTTTCACATATATATTAATTCTCTTGAATCTCTTCCACTGTCTACACGATCAATTCCTGGAAACCCAACAAAGACATTTAACCTTAGCAATGCATGATGCCTGGCTTATAGCATTTTCTTTAATAGTCACTGAAAAAATAGTGTGAAACCTCAAGAATGGTATGTCAGCCAATAATTCACGATTTTTAACCGGTTTTACTAAGTTCTATAAAACATTATAAAACTTGCTTAAGCTTCCAATAGGACATTTCGAAGATGTTATGACAAACATAGATAACCCCATTCTGACTACGTTGACGGCCATGTTAGTATTTTTATAGGTTCTTCATTGTTCTGCTTAAATCATTTTCCTTAGTGGGAGGACCTCTTCCATATGGGTCCCGGAGTGATGGTTAGGCCAAGGCCAAGTCCAAGAGAACCCTTCTGACTCATATCATTTTCCTTACTTTGGCACAGAATAGAGATAGCGAAAGCTCAAAAATTGAACATTTTACAAAATTTGTAAGTAACTCTTGTTCTTCTTCCGTGTCACGCTCCAATCCCGAAGTACGTTCAGGATCGACACTTGACGTAACCAAGTACCCGTATATCTAACATACCCCGCCTCCGGGATATGGACAAAGCACAACACAAGATTCAGATTATGTAGTAATTTTTCGTATACTTTATGGCTGCATTTAACCTCTTTGTTAGACTACCTACGTACCCTCCGACAGGATCAAGCCATTCGTAGTTCACCATTTGTGAAACTTTGAACTGTTCGTAAAACACTTCCTAGTAGACAACATAGAGTACCACACTACACATCAACCATAAGCCAAACAAGAGTTGTCATCATGCCATTCACACACACACATGTGTTTTCCAACACCATTCTACAATCACATCAATCAATAACACATACAATACACCAAAATGCAGGGCTAGAGTAACACAGTTCGGCCGAAGCCTACATCTCTGAAGCTTTCCCAATTTAGACCGAATCCAACGAATTAGCAAAGTCAAGGATGTGAATTCGGAGCACTCAACGAAATCCAACAACATCGGGTTCCGAACCACTCAACGGAACCAAAGTACCAAACGAGATTTTGGACCACTCCACGGAATCCAAACCAAGATACTATTCCGAACCACTCAACGAAATCGTGAAGTAGAAGGGATTCCAGACCTCTCAATGGAATCCGAGTGGATACAATTCCGGACGACTCAACGGAATCGCGGAGTACAATGGATATTGGACCACTCAATAAAATCCAAAGCATGATACGATTTCGGACCACTCAACAGAATCGCAGAGCACGAGGGATTCCGGACCACTCAATGGAATCCAGATGAAGTAGGGAACCTAACCACTCAATATAACCCAATTTCGGACCATTTAACGGAATCGAGTGGAAGTCCAAGAAACATAACAACGGCTCGTAGAAACAAGACATGAATCAAGTTACTCAATTCACAAAAGCTCAACGAAATGAAACAAGCACAAGTACTTAATTTAGAACGGATTAACATAGCAATAAATGAAATGATAACGAAGCAACAAATCCCCATGACAATGGGTTAACGATCCATTGCTAGCCCTCACATTTAACAAACAATCCAACATGCATTTCAAATTACATTTCACAAATATCTTCAATACACAAGTCAAATCACATTTAATAAACATAGATCAATGGGTAAATATATATAAAATAAAATTAAAAAAATCACATTAATCACATTTATAAAATCAAGTGATATCCATAAAGGATACAAAATACGAAATCAGGATAATAACCATATCACATACACTAAAGTCACTCATTAACCAATGTAGACCCACCAGACTTCACTTAGTCTCTAATAGTACTAATTTTCATTTTACTATCGTTCAATGCCGTGCTTCTTTGACTTTTTAAATCAAAAGATCATGTTATCTACTAATTTTTATCAGGAGTGCTTGTACACCAACTCACCAAGTAAGGTCATTAAATCTATTTGTGTGGGGCTTAAGCCCCGATCTTTATGCCATTTAGAGCAAGTCCACCCTTGTGGATTGCTCGGGGGACAGGCACCAGGAAAGGGAAAGGGCCCGAGACCTGGTGGACAACCCTCCAGCCTTGGAGAGCCCGAGTGAGGGTGGGAGCCCGAGCACAAGGGGGTGGGGAATTGACAGGCTTGCAGCCCGAGGGCCATGCATTTTTTTATTTTTTTTGTGTCAAGGGCCTGTAGCCCCATTTCCATGTTTTATTTTATTTTATATTATTTAAACAAACAAAAAAACTAATATTTTATTACCTATTGCCAGGGGGAGGGCTCCAAGGGTGGAGATGCAAAAGGTAATTAATGTTCATTAATGACAGTTATTATTCATTAAAGACAGTTATTGTTCAATATAGTGGATTCAATAGTGGATTGCTAGAGGGGAGGGCTCCAAGGATGGAGTTGCTCTTAGGGACAACGACGAAGCAACAACCAATAGCCAATAATCACTTAACGGCCAATAACGGATAGGGATGAACAACTATTTCCTTATGTCTTACTACACACGCAAAAAATCTTGTAAAAGTCAACAGTCATATTTTCTTGCGAAAACGTGACTCTCATTTTTAATCCTTTAACCAAAGATTTTTCTCCTTTTGATATTGAAAGTGGTCATAGGTTCTAGAGTTTTTTTTTTTTTTTTCCTACTCCATTGAAACAGGTTGTCAATATTAGAATAACTTATATGGAATGAATTTATTGTCGTAATAACGTCTTATTCAATAATGCATTATATGCGTAAGCTTCTTCATATGACAATGTATTACGCGATGTTTAGTCATGTTTTTGGATTCTAATGGATTTTGATATCAAGCTGTACCACGTGACAAAAATCTAAAAATAGTTTTTATGATTCTATAATCCGGCCCGCCTTTATGATTGGCATGTGCCAAGCTTCATCACTTTCTAGCTGTCTCTGAACTGTTTGCTCTTTCTCCGTCTCTTCCACTTCAACTTGGAACTACTGTGGGAATGTGACGTGCACGTTCCAGGAATATGACGTTCCACAGTTTGCAATATACACACTGAAACTATGCACTCGCAGTTGTAGTCTCTCTTTTCTTCCATTTTCCACCATGGAAGCTCCCCTCGACCATGCTTTGTTTCAGCTCACTCCAACTCGAACCAGGTAACTATATTTGCACTAGGCAAATGATTTCCGCACAACCCTTTTATCCTACAGTATGCTCTTGTTTATTTACGTAGTCCAATTCTCTATTTATTCAATCCAATAACCAGATTGTGCATGGAGAGGAAAATTGTGTACAGAAATCACTTCCATTTGCACTCTTTCCACTTTCTCGCCCACTATGCCTAATTTGTATTTCACTCTGCTTAGTGTTAATATTGAATTTCTTTCTAATTTTGTGTCTAAATTAAATGAGTGCAGATGTGACTTGGTGATCTTCTATGGAGCCAAATCTGAGAAACTGGCATCTGGGTTGTTCCAACCCTTTGTTTCTCACCTCAAATCTGTAAAAGATGAGATTTCCAGAGGTGGGTATTCCATTACTCTTCGCCCGCCTACCCAAATGGCACCCTGGTTCACCAAATCCACATTTCAAAGGTACGGTAGTTCCCAAATTTGTGTCATTTCTCACTGATACAAATGATAATTTCTAATTTGGATAAAAAAATTTATTTTGGTTCTCTTTAATTATGTACTGTGGGGCAGATTTGTGAGGTTTGTTAGCACCCCAGCTGTTCTGGAGAGGTTTGTCAGTATTGAAAAGGAGATTTTGCAGATTGAGAGTTCAGTCCAACCGGAGGAAGGTATCTCATCAAAATCTTTGAATTTTTCATTTTTAATTTATGGGTTTTATGATTTAAGATCAAGCTTTCTGGTGCTGTATTGGGTAAGTTCTGTTCTTTGTGTTGAATGTATTGTTTCTGTTCTAGTGATCTTAGGGCAAATCCAACTCTGGGCATTAATCATATTGCTCGTTTTCCGGCATTAAAAACCGTTGTTTTTCTCTTTTTGATAATTGGCTTTGGAGGCTAGGTTAAGGCATTTGATTTATCAGATAATGTTCTTACATTATGGAAAGAATGTTCTTCGATTTGGATTGAATGAGGACTTGAACTTTGCAATTTGATCCCTAATTAATCTTGGTTTATCAGGAATTGTATCTGCTAATCAGAGTACAAGGAAATCAGCTGGTTCTTTGGAGGTATTTTATTTATAGATTACATAACAAGTGAGGTATTCTCAAAGAATGATCTCATTACTTAAGCTACTATATTTTTCTTTTCAGAAAAGAGGTGAACTTGAAGAAGCAGGGGATGTTGTAAAAAACGAAAACTCCAAGTAACTATTTCTTTTGGATGGCTACAATTATGAATGAATTAGTCTCACTTGCAGTGTCATTCAGTATTTTTGTCATTGATTCATTCAGTTTTAATGTAATATGGCAGGGTTTGCCTTCGACGCCTTCTTGAAACTCGAGTGGCATTGCTTCGGAAACAGCAAGCCATGGCTTATGCCCGTGGCCTTGTTGCTGGTTTTGAAATCTACAATATGGATGATCTCATTTCTTTTTCGGATGCATTTGGTGCTTCACGCTTAAGGTATGAACTTGTAACCAGTAAAGTTGATTGTTTGAATTATGTTTTGTTTCATTAGTCTGTTTTTTTTTTTTTTTTTTTTAATCTACACTAGGGTGATATATATCAGTCACCAGATGGACCTCGGATTCTTTGTTTTGCAAATTAATATCCGTTGTTTATTCTAATCGCATTTTCATGGTCTACTTTTCACGTCATTTTGGAGAAATTAGATATAGTTCATTTTATTTTGCTGTAATGTTGAGCCTGCTGGAGTTTCTTAAGATCAGGTGTTGGTTATTTGTAGGGAAGCATGCATTAACTTCAAGGAATTATACAAGCAAAAGCAGACAGATGGTTTATGGATAAAAGAAGTAGCAGCAGTAGTGGCCTGTTCTTCATCAGATCTGCAATTCACGGGAGCGTCTGAAATTACACTTACAAATGAAGCAGAGGTCACTAATCAAAATGTTATGTTAAATCTTCCCTCTAGCGGTATCCTAAGTAGTGAAAAAGTTCAAGCGCCAATGCCATTTCCGCATCAGAATTCTCAGTACTTTTATGGTTCACTAGGCCATACAAACCAGTTGCCTCCATATCATGGATATCCTTTCCCTACTATGCAGTATTTCCCTCCTCATTATCCAAGGAACATGCAATGGCCTCCCAACATGGATGAAGCAAGCTATGGTCGGGAACCGAATTATCATAGGACTCAGAAGCCATCTTCAAGAAGAAAGAAGAAGAATAAAACACGACCTGAATACTCAGGGGAAGGCAACCAGACTGAGTCCAGGGACTCCACTTCTGAGACTAATTCAGATTCAGAGACACATCAAGAGAGAAAGCATTCTGATATGGAGAATTCATCCAGAAAGAAGTTTAAGAAGAAATCCTCGCGGAAAGTGGTCATTCAAAACATCAACTACATCACACCCAAGAGGAGGGATGGTAATAAAGGAGGAGTTTCTGATGAATCTTTTTCAGATGAGGTGACTGAGAAAGCAGAAGTATTGGAGGTATCCCATGAGTCACACTCGCAAGAAAGAGATGTGGAGAAGAGTCACTCTATGTTTAATGGATCAAGTAATGAGGATTTGACAGTTCGTGCTGTAGTCCCCATTGATGTTCAAGATGCACATTTTATAGTGAAGTCTGAAGATGGTAATTCATTAGCAGAGAGGCCTACTTTGGGGCTCAATCTCGAGAGAACTCCAAAGAAACTAACAGTTTCAGCGGCAGCTGATCCTTTGGTTGCGATGGAGAGGAATGGAACAAATGACTATGAGGTTAAGTTGGAAGATTTTCAGAATGAAGAAAATTTCAGTTCAGCTATGGAGAGAAAAGATTGTGCAGATGAGGACATATTACTTTTGCCGAGATCAGCAAAATCAGAAACTGAAATTAGGTCTGCGTTTTCTGCTTCCGCTGCTGAGTCTACTGTAACCAGGACTGTAAGGGGAGAAGATTGGTTTGTCTTGAATCATTCAAGAAGTACAGAAGACCAGAAGGTACCAATGAAGCAAACAGTTTTTGATGGTGATTGCATCATCACGTCGGAGACAAAAAGCAATATATTGGTAGATGATTCTTTCTTTATACAGTCTCGGTCAGCAGTTGATGATATGTATGAATCACCATGGAAAACAGAAATAAGCATGGATAATAATCTGAGTTTAGCTGCCCAGAAGGAAAATGGAGTTATAGATACTCCACAGACTCGAACATCTGAGCCAGATGACCTTTGCATGATTCTTGAAAGGGATTCCAACTTTGAGTCTGCGGAAATTTCTTGGACTATAGACTATGGAGCAGATATTTCATTTACCGAGGCAAATAGAAAACGTTCTGGTGTTGAGACAACTGATGGTGTGGATAACAAGCCTGCTTCGAACGGTATGGCAACCAATGTGAAGAGCAATAAAGTTCCTGGACCAAAAGAACGCTGTAAAGAAGCAAAGTCTAACATCGTACGGAGATCCCTAGTTAACAACACACCTGATATCAAAAGCAAAAAAATATTTCCTACAAGAGGGCCTATAATACAAAAGAGCAAATTCGAGAAGGTAAATAATGAGCGTGCAGTTGCTTATTATGTAGTATTTATTTAGATACCTCTCATTGTCTATTTTATTCGTACTTTTGATTTTCTTTTTATGGAATCTGATGAGAATGTGCTTGTATACAGGAAGAAGAAATTCGGCAAAAGATGGAGGAACTGCGGATAGAACGCCAAAAGCGAATTGCTGAGAAAACTGCAGCGGGTGGCTTTTCTCCGGTAGCACCCAGAAGAGCTTCATTAGAAGGCAAAACAGCAAAGGGCTCTCCCAAGAGTAAACTACAACCTACCAAGAGAACTCTAAATCTGTAAATGGATACAAAGCAGTTGAGTCCATGAGTTCTTCAAACTGCAATATATATTTGTTCATACTTATGATTTGTTTGTATAATATCCCCAGCTATATATTTTTATAGACATATAACTTTGGCATGATGCCTCTACTTTTTGCTTCTTTATTTATTCATGGGATGCTGAGTTTGGCAGTTTGGAATAATAAAAAAGTGATTCTTCTCCATTTACTTAAATTCAAGTATATCTCATTTATCACGTGACTCAAAGAAGATATATTCCTGATTAGACATTAGAACCTCCCTTGTCCATGCCGGCCACAGTCGCGCTTGGAATTTTCACCAAATGGCTTGAAGTGTTTATATCTACATGGTATACAAACTACACGAACAATTGTCCCTCTTATGGTGAAATTACAATATCATGCATCTTCCTTTGCAAAGGCTACCACGGACTCAGGACTCTCAGTTTGACCAAGGAAAACGACCTAATATATGAAGGCTTCACTGCCCAATTTGGTGAAAAGAAGAGGATAGAAATGTTCCGGGTTCCAACTTTCTAATCGCCATATGGGGTGCTTGCTGTCAAGTCAAATAAAAAATGGAAAACAAATGAGATGTGGACATTGACTAATAACACCACGTTTTTTGGGGTAATCAAGACCTTAGCTACTATTTATTTGACGTGTAGGTATTTTTATTTTGACCTAGTCGATGTAGGATATTTCGTATAAAATTTTATTAAAAACTTTGTTGAAAAAGTTTAACTAAAATTTATATTTTGTAGAAATAAATAGACACGTGTATATGTTAGAACATAAGCACCTAGTTATCACTCCGATAAATTTCTCAAATTGATAACAAAACTTTTGATAAGAATGCATTTTGTTAATTATAGTATCAATTTTGTTTAAATGGATAATTGATACAGAAAATAAAATTTGGAAATTTCAATTTTTTCTGGTACAACGATAATACAACCACCACCTCATCTTACACAGTGAGAAGCTGTATCGTTCTGTAATAGCTGCCAGCCATCAAAATCTAGCACCAGTTCCTGCAATCAAGGAAAGCACGATTTAGATAACTAAACAGGTAATTAATTAATTAATTAGTTAAAAAACCTAATTAAAAATAAAATAGAAAAAAACAAAAGAGAGGAAAGTTTAGGTCTGAGACGGCTACAGCCTACTAGATGATCTTCCTTAATAAAAGGGACTTTGTCCTTCTGTCTTTCCTTGGCTTCTCTTTTCAGAGAAAGTTCCAAGGCTGAAAGAAAGAAATGGTTTTTCCAGTTTCTTGTACATACTAATTAACCCAAGGATTAAGTGCCTCGCACGTAATTGTGTTTTTATCTCATTTTCTTTTTCAAAGAAATTGTGTTTCCATCTTGTTGAACGCATTACAATTTTATATTTTGGAGTTGTTTTTTTTCCTCGTTAAGCTTTAAAGGTGTGCTGACCAGTAATCGTTGAAAACCCAGTTGTATGATCATTTAACAATATTATCATCATCATCATCATCATCATCTTTGTCGTCGTTGTTTTCTTCGTCATTCAATCATCATCATCACCATCACCCTTGCCCGGTGTAAGTCTTTATTACAAGTCTCAGCGTAGGTTCGAGCCATGGCTATCGGAAGCTGTTTCGGTCCATTGTTTCGTCGCAAGCCTTCTGGAATTAAGGTACTTTTTGTGCTTCCATGTTTAATTTCCTTAAGCATGTGTTATATATATGTGACACATCGTGTTTAAATCTAGTTTCTAACAAAAACTGACCATCTACATCTAGGCATGCTAGTATTCTTTAGGGAAACATGGCGGCCTTGTTTCTTGCCCAGATTAAGTTTGTTGCATGTAGCCATAAATCTTTGATTAAGGTTCATAAAAGAAAATAATCTTTTATTAGGTATGGATTAGCAATAAGGTCTAGACTAGAAAATAGTTAACATGAAAAGAGTTGCTCTTGCAGGCAATGAAAGACTCTAGGGAGCCCAAGGGTCTTCCCGTGAAGCAGAAGAATGCTTCTAGGAGAGGCATGCCAAAAGATAGGTCTTCCGAAGATTCAGGCAACCGGGTTCGGATGACTGAGCTCCGGAAGAAGATCATCTTCTTCAGGGACATCATTGACCTACCAGCTGGTGATGCTTCTGCTGCCACAAATGAGGTATGTATCCCTTTTTTTTCCTTTTTTCCAAAGAGCTCTTATAGTAACTCTAAAAATGTCATCGTACACTTCCCTAAAAGAAGATGTTTTTCCGTTGAAATCTTGTTTAATTTTCTGGATTAAAAGACAATTTGTTTAATGTTCCTATTATTTTCTGCATGCAGATGGTAATGAGGTTGATGAGAGATCTACAGAAACTTTACCCTGAAATTGTGCTGCATAAACAGTTGTCAGAAATAAAGGGAGCATCTATAGAAAAGGTAATTAAGAATTTAAGATCCATAAGAAATGGCTTAAAACGCATATGTAATTATATTCGAGACCATTAAGCTTATGTACAAATTAAACATCTGCATTCAGGTCCTGGCCTCCTTCTGCAAGGCATTGAAATCTATTGGAGAGTCTTGGATGACAAGTTATGACAGGTTGGACAAACCGAGATATGAATTCCCATCACTCAAGGAGAATGTCAATTCTGAGCAACTCGGTAGGTTCAAATTTTTCTCTAGGACTAGATGAGGCCTCTCCATTTGGCAAAGGAAGCAACAATCTAACAGTTTCTTCCTTTTGTGAAATTTCAAGTTAAGGCTGATTGCAACTCTACGATTTTGTAGTTGAGACGGTGTTGGGAACACTTGATTGCTTGATGAAGATGGCATGGGACAAGTTCGATATGATGGATCAGGATGACCAGAAAGGAGAAGATTACAGCCCTCGGAATAGCTCATTCGGGAAGTTCTTGAGCGATTCAGAAAGCTGCACCTCAGGCTCCACCTGCCCTTCTCCGGTCACTCCATCTTCTGTCCTTCCCGAGATTGATGGTTCTTCTAGAGCACGAAAGAAGGCCAACATTGGCTCCAAATCACCATTGCTTTGGACTTTGAGAGTGCAAGCAGTTGGGAAGCTGAATCTAATTGATGTTAAGAACTTGTCTCTTCACTTGTCGAAACAAGGAGCTCATGGCACTAGCAATGGTATGGAAAAGATTGAAAATTTGGTTGAGGAACCATCAATTGGGACAGAATTAGAGAGCAACCCTCAAAAGAAAATTGCAGCAACAGATGAGGAAGTAGTAGCCCCAAATCTAAGTTTGAATGAGAACTCTAGTGGAAAGGGAATAGACAACACAAGTGATGATGTTGAAACTCCAACCACAACCCCTGAAACATTGGAAGCAGACACCACAGAAGTGTCATTGCCTCCCTTCCCAACACCACCACAACAAAAATCAGCGCCTCCGCCTCCGCCTCCACCTCCACCAGCGCAACAACTTTCACTGCCTAATACACAAGCAGCAACAAGAATACCAACACCCCCTCCACCACCGTCATTACCCACATTGAAGCCAAATTTTGCAACACCGCCGCCACCACCATCAATACCCACCTTGCAGCCACAAGTTGCAGCACCTCCTCCGCCACCACCAACATTAACACCACAAAATGTAGCAGCAGTTGGGGGGCCACCACCCTCACCACCTCCACCAATGGCACCAGGATCAGTGTCAGTAACTCCACCAACCCCACCACCAACACCAATGATACCAGGGTCAACAATAGTGGCTCCACCCCCACCTCCACCAGGATCGTCAAATGGAGCTCCACCACCACCTCCTCCACCAGGATCGTCAATTGGCGGCCCTCCACCCCCACCACCTCCACCAGGATCATCAAATGGAGGTCCTCCACCCCCACCACCCATGTTAAATGGCCCATCAAATGGAGCTGCTCCACCCCCACCTCCTGCACTCGGCGCAGGAAGATCCTTGCACCCCAAGAAAGACACCAAACTGAAGAGATCATCCCAAATGGGGAGTCTCTATCGCCTTCTCAAGGGAAAGGTGGAAGGATCTAGCTTGGATGGAAAAGCATCCAACGGGAGAAAGGGCGGAGTTGGAAGCAGCTCTGGCGGAAAACAAGGAATGGCTGATGCTCTAGCAGAGATGACAAAGAGGTATTTCTTGTATGGATAAGTAATCTAAGTACTCAAAGCCAAATAAAGCGAAAATCATATAAGTTTCTAATTTTTGTGTCTCAGATCAGCATACTTTCAACAAATTGAAGAGGATGTTAAGAAGTATACAAAGCCTATCACGGAAATGAGAACTACCCTTAGTTCTTTCAAAACAAAAGACATGAATGAGCTGATGCAGTTTCACAAGAAAGTCGAATCTGTTCTTGAACACTTGACTGATGAGTCACAGGTCAATAACCATTCATTGTCCGCTTTAGTTTTGTTCATTTCCATAGTAGTTATATGATCACTTCATGATCGTGTTTCATGACATGCCGTTTTGCGAATTGTAGGTGCTATCAAGGATTGAAGGGTTCCCAACAAAGAAGTTGGAAACAATAAGGATGGCAGCAGCACTGCACAAAAAATTAAACACAATGCTCACTGAACTGCAGAATTGGAAACTAGTGGCTCCATTGGGTCAGCTCCTTGACAAGGCAGAACGCTACTTCAATAAGGTGCATAAATGTTCATTTTATACAATCTTAATTACTTAATCGTCTCTTTCCATTTTCCATAAACTAATAAAAAAATGTAATACACAGATCAAAGGAGAAATAGACGCGATGGAACGAACTAAAGACGACGAAGCCAAGAAGTTTCAGAGCCAGAATATCCATTTCGACTTCAATATCCTCATCCGGATCAAAGAAGCCATGGTGGATGTTTCCTCAAGCTGCATGGAGATGGCACTAAAGGTTAGCTACTGAGAGTTAATTACTTTAAACAATCATATAACAATGATTTGGAAAAGAGAGTTTGACTTTGAATTGTTATATGATGCAGGAAAGGAGAGAAGCAAAGGCTGCAGAGAAGAGTACTGGAACAAAAACTGATCAGAAGCAAACAAAGATTTGTGTTAAAATGCTGTGGAGGGCTTTTCAGTTTGCTTTTAGGGTTTATACGTTTGCTGGTGGACATGATGATCGGGCTGACATGCTCACAAAAGAATTGGCTAATGAAATTGAGTCCGAACCGCAGCACCACTGAAACCCTAATTCCCAGACGGTCTAAGGGTTTTGAAAGCAATAAATCATAGTATTACCCATAACTTAATC